GTCGGGCTCTTGCCATGAAAATCCCCTTCCCTGTGGAAAAGATCATCAACCTGCCAGTGGATGACTTCAATGAGCTGCTGTCACGTTTCCCGCTGAGCGAACCCCAGATGGCCCTAATCCGGGACATCCGCCGCCGCGGCAAGAATAAAGTAGCGGCTCAAAATTGTCGCAAGCGCAAACTGGAGACATTGGTGCACCTGGAGCAGGAGCTGGATGAACTAAGTCGTGAGCGACAGCGCTTGTTACAGGACCGTGGAGAGTTTAACAGGAGTCTGACACTGACCAAGCAGAAGCTGGGAGCCCTCTACCACCAAGTGTTTTGCATGTTGCGGGATGAAGCTGGCAATGCCTATTCCCCTGACGAATACGTGCTGCAACTCACTGTCGATGGCAGTGTCTTCCTTGTTCCACGCAACAAGCAGCCAGAAAGCGCCAATGGCTGAACTGAACAAGTGGTGGTTAGAAATTGGGGGGGATGGAATGCAGCCAGTTGACCCCCACAAAAGCATCTCTCTAGGGGCTTGAGACCACTCAAATGTTAAGAGAATTCAGATTCCATACCATACAGCTGAACTTAACACCATTTAAAGCACCCAATTATTTTTCACTTCATTAGGAGAAAAATAGGCTTTGATGAAAACGGTACCTAGAATTTATTCCTTATCCAAGCATCCATCTTTCTACAACAGTCCCATCAGACTTCACTGATGTGGTCAATTGTGATGGATGAATTATAATCCCAACAGTATTTGTAGGACTATTTGTAATCCTCAATCCTTTGCTTACTTTGGTACTTTGTGCCAAATTACCTTGCATACAATATATAAGGCACTTGCTCACCTTACAGCTTTAAAATGTTCTCAACCTACTGGACAATTTCCACTGTCCAGAGCAAATATGAAGCCTATTGTAATTTAGTTGTACACCCCTTTCTATATATTTCCATGTCAAATTAAAAAATAAAAAATGAATTTTGCTAAATCCTAGTTAAGCTCTAACCGGGTTTCCCATTTTAATTTTTGTCATATGTTTTCAAATTTAGGCTATTCCTTTTCAAAGCACTTGCTAGGGTCATTACCACTGTAACGACCTGCCTTAAATCAGGTGTTTAGTAGCATCTTTTCAAACTAACAAATTTTATAAAATGGGAAAAGCTTTCAGTATATCTATTTTAAATGTTAGCCAGAAAAAGTTTGAGTTTTGTGGCTATCATAGTTTGGTTTTCTTCCTCAAAATTGCTTCAGTACATGATTTTGGTATTTAACTTGCAAGTTGAAGTTGTCCTAATGTTCATCCCACAAAATCCAATTTTCAATTCATATTCTGACTTCTTTGGGTTATAAACATCGATGCAAAAACAAGATGTTTCAGAATGATGTATACACAATGCATACATTATGGAGTCCTCTCCTGTAATTGTTTCTAGCTTAAAACAGGATTTCCACTGCATTTAGTATTTAGGTACAGCTAAATGAGCTGTTTTTTCCATTGTCATAAACATAGTCAGCTTTACAAATACAGGTAATCCTTGACTTACAACCATAATCGGGACCAGAGTTTTTTGCAAGCAAGGTTGATAAATGAGTTATTATTTTGACTTTTGCCACTTAAGCAAATCACTGTGAATTCAAGCTTCCTCCCAAATTGACTTTGCTCATTGAAAGCCAGCAAAAGTAGCAACATGATCACGTGACCCCAGGTCACTGAACACATACATGGCATTGTCAAGCTCCCTAACCTGTGGCCACGTGACTGTGAGGATGCCCCAAATTTGTTGCAAATGAAAGGACCAGTCACATCACTTCAACCCTTTGATTTACAAAGACTTTGCTGTGGAAAGGATGGACAGCTACAAGCCAAGGGAAGACTACCTTGGCAAATGTATGAAATACTAAGAGAAGACAAAAATGAGTTGAGAAAAGTTGGTATTGTAAAGACACAGCACAGAGGGAACTTTTAGCTGCAGAGGGAACATACGTTCTGTAGAAAAATTACTCGAGTAAATACTGTTACAAAAAATAACTGTACATAAAATGCCCAAATTAATTAGTCCCAAAATTCCAGTGTGTTAAATGACCCCTAATATTTCATGATTGAAATACTGTGAGGGAAGATCTGTCCTTTTTTGTGATGGTGATCCTAGAACATAGCATGGAAAAAGTGGTTTTAAAATGCCAAAGGAAATTTGGAATAAAATTTGTTGGGTCGTGTCAGAAGCAATAGGAAAAAAGAAATAAGCCTGCCTTGCTACATCATCTGCTGCAGGTCTGCAAATGGGTTTTAAGTCTGTTCAGTTTTTAGATTTTAGTGGATTTAAGATTTCAAGTCACCAAGGAAGATGAAGCTACAATATTGCTTTCATCAATCCTCATCTCTCCTGTTAAATGGGATAAGAATATTCTCAAGGTTTTGTTTGATGGGATGGACTCTCGTTGAAAAGGAACTATTTTAAGCTCACCATCATGCAAGCTCTCCTCTGTAGATAAATCCATGTAATTATAGACCAAATATTCAACTTCTGCAAGATTATTTCAAACTCCAGATGCACATAAATGTTATTGCTTGCTCCAAGTTTTGGCTAGGCTGTGCCATGCTTTGGTAACATTTAACCAGAATTAAAAAAAACATTGTTTTGCATGGTTCTGGTCCATCTTGACTAATGGAAAAGATATGGTTATATAAAATGTAAAGATGATATAATGCATAGATTTGATTTACCAGCTCAACTGTTGCACCAGAATCCTCGCTTGTTTGGAAAGTTATACATATAGGAGGTCCTCAAGTTTACAACAGTTCACAGTGACCATTCAAAGTTACAAAGGCACTGAAAAAACCGACCCTTTTTCTTAATTACCATTGCAGCATTCCCAGTCATGTGATTTACATTGATGCTTGACAACTGATTCACATTTATGACAGTTACAATGTCCTGGAGTCATGGGATCCCCTTTTGCAACCTTCTGACAAGCAAAGTCAATGGAGAAACCAGATTTACTTAACAACCGTGTGACTAATTAAAAAACTGCAGGGATTCATTCACAAATGTGGCAAAAGTCGTAAAATAGGCAAAACTCTTAACACATTTCTCACTTAGCAACCTAAATTTTGGGCTCAATTGTGGTTGTAAGCTGAGGACTATCTGTAAAACTCCAGGCCAATTGGTTAGGAAAATAGTAGTGTCCGAAAATCCACTGAGTGACAAGCCAAAGACCTCAGTTTTGACTATTAAGGCAGTTCAGTGTTTATTTTTTGATGTTTTTCCACATAAATGAGGGCTAATCTTGTGGAGATGTAGAGAAAACTAGTGTTTACAATTGGTATGAATGGCCCAGTTAGCCTTCTGGTGTCCCTCTGTGTTGCCAAAAAGGACTTCTTTGCCAAGAAAACCTGTGATTTGGGGAAAAAGGAGTTAAAATGGGTACAAATCTCATAGGATTAAGGCACTCATTCCAATTCCTCAACCTCATTTTCCAGACAGCATAGCCCGTTGCCTATTTTTGGACTATGCCTCTTGGCATGCCATGCAAAGCCTGGGTAACACTTGACCGATAAAAGTTGGGCACACTATCTACATTAAAAGACTTTTTTTCCCAAAAGGAGAAGAATGATCTCTCTCATGTTCCCTGGGCCACCAGCATGTAGCTCTGTGTAGCTCACTATTTAATGAAGGCCAGGATTCTTATTTTTTTTATTAGTTTATTATGTAGCATACAAAGGAAATATAAAACCAAATAATAAGAGAAATGGGGAAAAGGGAAGTGAGGACAAAAACAGGAAAAAGAAAGAAAAGGCATTGACTTCCAACTCCCTTTGGTGCAGTAAAGCATTAACATCATACCTTAACTTTTTACTTTTACATAATAGAATAGCCATTTCTATGATAACAAATATATCTGATCGGTAAAACCCAAAATCTATTTTTAAAACTGGTTCAAGAAGCAAAATGGCTTCATGACCCGCAAGCTTGCATTTCTAATATGATTTTAGGGAAGCTAATTTATAAGAACATATACTGTAAGTAAAATTACCAGGATTATTCACTGTAGAGAAAATGTTTACGAAAATATCTGTTAGTGTGTCCCTCAGACTAATACTGGTGTGCTATCATAGAAGCTTGTCCATTCTGAAGAAACACATTCTAACATCTTATTGGAAGCAATGTTAACAAGTCACAAAAAGGTAGACAAGACATTTATATCAAAAACCGTTTTATTAAATAAATCTATTCATAACAATAGATTATATGTAGAGCTACCTAGTAGCAATGTAACTTTCTTTGAAAGGTTTATGGTACATCAAGCTGAGGAGTCCTGCAAGACAAATAGTAATAATAAATTTTAAAATCAGATAAATTATGGTAGGGAGCACAGTGCACTTTTGGACACAATCCCCATTTCCTAATAGTTATTTTAACTTTCACCACTATATTAAATAAGTACAGGTAGACCTTGATGTACAAGTTTGTTTAGTGACCATTCAAAGTTAAAACAGCACTAAAAAATGTGACTTATAATCATTTTTCAGTTATGATCTTTACAGCATCCCCATGATCATGTAATCAAGTCAGATGCTAAGCAACTGATACATATTTATGACCTTTGCTATGTCGTCCAAGGTCATGCGGTCACCTTTTGTGATGTTCTCACAAGTCAACGGGGGAGCCAGATTCACTTAACTGCTGGGTAACTAACTTATCAACTGTAGTGATTCACTTAACAACTGTGGCAAGGAAGGTCGTAAAATGGGGGAAATTCACTTAACAATAGAAATTTTGGGCTCTACCTGTAAACATTAAAAATTCACCACTATATCACCTGCCTCTCAAGTTGAATTATAGCACAAACTCATTTATTGTGTGTTAGCGTGTTTTGGAAACCTTATTACCCCAATTTAGCATTGTTTTTACCTTTAAAAAGAAAAAGGAAATCCAAAGACAGTCCATCTGTCAGGAACAAAGGCATTTTAGCACCGGACACTCCCTTCTTTTCCTACAAAAAGGAAGAAAAATTAAATGCTGCCCATACTTAATCCCTATTCATACTTTATATAAGCATTCCCACCCACCCCCACAAATTCCTCTGCCTTTATAGCAGCACAGCCAGTGCACTGTGTTATGCTAAAATTGTTTTAAGTCAACAAGGCCACACAAAGAGGGATGGAAAAAGCATTGTTTTATTAAAGTACATTTCATTAACGATGTTGCCAGGCCTGTGACAGTAAAATATATAATTAGTAACGTTCTATCCATCTACTGCTTGCATATTACAGCACTGGGTGAATTAAAAGATAGCTAGACTGGTATTTACAAGGTAAACTCAGTCTTGGAGAAAGTTTAGTAGGATAACAAAACTGTATAGGACGTAAGTAAAATCTGTTCTTACCTACCAGTACAGTAATATAACCTTTCCTTCCTTCTGCTAGTCCTAAGAGGAAGGATCCTTACTCTCGTCTGACTCCTTCCGATGGTCACTGAGTACTCCCTTCTAGTCAGCAGAAGCCTGCACCTGGCTTATCTGTCCACTTGACTCAAAACACGTGTCTACTCTCAGCTGTAGTAGCGTCTGATCTGGAAGCCATTCGGAGCTATGCTTGCTAGCCGTTCCTAGTAGCTCAAACATCTGCATGCCTCCCGGTTTTGTAATGCTACTTAGTTTTCGGGTCCTGGTGTGCTCTCCTTTGTTGTGGTTATGCTACCATGCCAAAAACGAGTATTATTTCATGAATCCTGAGGTCTTGTCAGGATCCACCTGCTACTGCAAACTCAGCCATGGAAAAACCCATCAGGACTGTTAATTTTGCATTCTAAATTAAGCCAGTCACTTATCAGAAGTTTTATATATAAATACACTTGTATACACACCACATACAAGCACCATTGCAATCATTAACATATTTAAGCACACATTTGTCTTATTTTGTAAGACACTAAGATAGAAATGCTACAGGTGTATTCAGATCTGACAGAAGATTGATTGCCCAAAGTATAATGCAATTCCATGACATTAGCTATACCCCTCCAATTTTTAAGTACATTTCTACATCCATCTCATGGAACAGAAACATACTACTATTGTTTAATGGAAAACCAGAAAATAGGAGCCGGTGTACCCATTTTGTATGGTAGGAGTTGCATTAAGTGGGGAAATACATGAAATGTATTTCATAAAATAGAAACAATTTATTTCTGGAGTTTCAAAATGCAACTGAACTTTATCAGAGATGAGAACCTTTTTGGCTCCCTCACAGAAATGTACCAATTTGGGGATAATTAGGTTACTTCAAGTGCCTCAAGTAACAAACTAGTAGCACTTTTAATACCACAAAATTAGCTTAAGAGTGCCATAATAAGATTCACACTATTTTCCTCATGGTAGAACTCAATACAAAATCTAGTCTACTTTTGAGAAGAGAGCACTGTGAAATTTTAATTTAGACCAATAGATTTGTAATAAAACTTTTGCCTAACAGATATCAATTATATGAACTACCCTGCACAATCTTGTGACCATCCACCACCACCACTAGTTGGAATACTTTTATCCATTTTATTAAATTTGTTTGCTGTCCATCTGCATCTTATTAATTTTAGCAAATGTTAACATTTGAAATATTAATTTATGCATTCAGCTAGTAGTGGATTAAAAGTCATGTATTTTGTTAGTCTCTTCAGTGGGAAATCTGTTTCCTATTTTTTATTATAAAAATGAGACTGCAAGTGAGCCAAAGCAATCTGGTATCAACATCCCAGTTATGGGAAATTTCACAGCTTATGACAGTTGACTGGTTCTCTTGCTGTCAAGCCCAAGAAATTGAAATTTCTATAGTACAGATAAAATGTTGATGCTGTATTTGGAGCGACTTAGGTCTAACTGAATAACTGCCTAGAGATATTGTAAGCATAGCAGGCTCTAGTAGTGACGTATTTGCCAAATGTCCCATTTCAAGCTCCTTGTTAAATTGAGCTGCTATGCCTATATGCTGATATGGCCAAAACTTTTTGTCTTTAATTCAGCATATAAAATCTGCCTCAGTCACTGGCACTCTTTAAACTCAACCAGAAAAAAAGGGAAGACATGAGCTGAAAAAGCAAACAGTAAAGAACAATTGTCAAACTACCAAGATGATGTCCTTACTTAAATAAGGAATACATTTTGGAAGTGGTCCTTCATTGAGGAAATTTCTGCAAATTTGTTTTTCATGAAGCTAAACACAAAATCAATATATTTGGCTTTGAATATAAAGATTCCTTGGCATTCTGAGAATCATTCTCTGCTATTTGACTCTTCACTAATCTTTTCCATTTAGTGAAAATCAATGTACATTAACTTATAGTAAACTAACTTTACACAGCACACTTTAAAAAAAAAGACACATTTATTTAGCGTCATGATCAGTCTATTACAGTTTGCAGTCAACAGCATGGGTGTGGAAAAAAAAATCTACATAAAACCCCTGGTTGGAATGCTTTGCACTTTCCACAGAACACAAAAACTAAAATATCCTGTTATACACAGTTAGTCACAAATACAGTCCTGATGTTTGCAAACAAGCGCTTGTCTAACACATGTCTTCATGAGGCAGTTCTACCCTGCCACAACTCTGTTTGGCTGAGTTCACAACTGTGGTAACCTGTAGCTTCCCTGTCACTTCTCTGGCTCTCCTCTCCTGCTAAGCTTTGTTTCCTGTTGAATAATATGGAATAAAGTTGTTAATCTAAACATATTGAGACTCAAGGCTATAATCCAATATCAAGTTGTTCCCCCGATTGCCAGTCCATTTATTAGCTTTAACATCTGCATTTTATTCCAAATATGCTTAAACTACAATAACTTGCTCAGCCACTTTATGAGTTACTATTACAATTCATTTAGAACTGCATATTTATCCATGAGCAAATGGAGGAAGTCTTACCTAGGAATTAAAACCGCCTTCCACCACCATAGCTACTGCCACTACCAGAGCCCCCATAGCCACCTAAAAAGAATAAGTTAGTTATCTTAAATGGGAATGGGTAAAAAAAGAAAACTGTTTCGAAAAAATGGACTAAGATCTTTTATAAAAAGAATGAGGAAACTGTGAGGACTGACCTCAGTTTTTCATATCAATCATTCAAGAATTCTACTAGAAATTAATGTGATCCATTTTCCCTCTAGTCAATTAGATCATACACTTACCACCACTTCCACCATAAGGGCCAGAGCTCCTCCCTCCAAAGTTTCCTCCTTTCATGGGCCCAAAATTTGAAGACTGACTGCTGTAACTGCCAAAATCATTGTAGCTTCCTCCACCTCCAAAGTTGCTTCCTGAACAGAGTAAAAATCATCCAAGAATTTACAAACCCCAAATATTTCATCTATAAAATTCTTTCATACCTGTCTAGATATTTTCCCAACTATACTGAGCATATTTAAATGAAGATGCATGCTAAGCCTAACAAACCGCAAAAATTAATACAACTAGAAGGCAGCAAATATTTGGTTTTTTATTTTTGCAACTCTCTAGACCTGAAGAAACCTTTTAGGGTGGCCATGTCAGAAATTTCCTAACTTGACTGTGGTGGTACAATGCCTCCCCACTCCACCATTTTCTACTCCTCTCCATCTAGGTCACCTTGAACAGCAGCAATCAGCAGCTTTGAGACTGAATCTAAAGTGCAAGCCTGGGCCTCAACTTCGGCCTTAGCACTAATGATACTCAAAGACCACTTTGTGTTGCTCCCCAAGGAGTGTAACCCCTGGGGAATGGTGCAATTGCTCTGACAACCAAGCTCTCACACAGCCTCTGAAAATTGCACAAGGCCTTACTGCTTAAAAAAAATAAAACTTTTAAAAGGTGGCTATGGGGAGCCAGTCCCCTACTCCTGAAGAACCCAGGCCATTTTTATGCAGCCTCTGCAAATCAAGTTAGAATGGGGCATGCTTTTAATAGTTTCAGGTGTTGGTGAATGCTAGCATGTCACCAAAACTTCAAGGAATGTCAGTTGGTGCCCTTCATAGATTTGCTTTTACTGGTCTAGACATATTTGCTCTGGCAGTTTATTCCCTATTGTAACACCATTATCGGTCCAGCAAAAACTGTACTAGATAAAATAATTTTGGTGCTCAAAATCAAATTGATATTTACCCCCACTGCCACCACCAAAGCCGCCCCCGCCGTTGTTGTATCCATCATAGCTTCCACTGCCACCATAACCCCGGCTTCCTCCAGAATATCCAGGGCCACTGCCTCCATAACCTACAAAGCAAATAAGATACTGAATTGCAGAACATTGCAAATTGTGTATTTTACAAATCTCGAAGACTATTTTAACATTTTTTACAATTTTATGTATGCAATACTAAAGGTACATATACCCTTAAAATAAATCAACATGTCGTTGTATGATATCTTATGGAAAATAGCAGCTTTTTCAAAAGCTGTATGAACTTACCATCATTGCCAAACCCATTATAACCATCTCCGCTGCCCCCGTATCCTCCTCCTCCACCGCCACTGCCGCCACCGCTGCGGCTACCAAACCCACCTGAGAAAAAAATAAAATATTAACATATTGATCTTATTTCAGATTTATGGTGAACTTCTGATATAGTCATTCACACACATAAGTTTGGCATTTGTGTAAAAAAAAAAAAAAACATATAGAAAAGCTACACATCCAAAGTACAGCTTAATCCCAGAAAGAAGCCCAGTAATAAGATGCAACAATGTATTCCTTTAAGTCCTTATTCTGATTAAGACCTTAAAATGAATTTTAAATCTTCAAAAACCTTACTTACCACGGCTTCCAAAATTGCTACCACGGCTGAAATTGTCACCACCGCCAAATCCACCTCCACGTCCACTGCCAAAACTTCCAGAGCTACTGCGACCTATGAACAACAACAACATGTGGCATTCCTGGAAAATGTCACTGCAAAATGTTTCTGTGTTCAAATACTGCACACTTTACCTCGCTGACTGGAAGAGGCACTGGCCATTTCCTGTTTTGACAAAGCCTTTCGGACTTCACAATTATGTCCATTTACAGTATGGTATTTCTGAACTAGACACGAAAAGATAAAAAAATGGCATCAAAATCTCTATAGAAGCTACATATAGAGAAAACAGAACAAGTTAGGGCATAGCTGAAAGGATGAAATAAGATGCTTACTGACAATCTTGTCCACAGAGTCATGATCATCAAAAGTAACGAAGGCAAACCCCCTCTTTTTGCCACTGCCACGATCAGTCATTATCTCTATAACTTCTATTTTGCCATACTGTTCGAAGTAGTCCCTCAAATGGTGTTCCTCTGTATCTTCCTTAATCCCCCCAACAAAGATTTTCTTCACTGTCAAATGTGCTCCAGGTCTCTGGGAGTCCTATGAGACAGGACAAACACATTTTAAACTGTTAATATTTGTGGCTGCTTGGTGATTATCCATTTTGCCAGAGAACGCATGATGCATCTTAAAGACATTAGTATTTAAAAATTCAAGCCTATCCACTTCAAATTTTAACATACCATAACCCCAAATTTCTCCAACCTGGCAGTGCAAAAAAAATTACTTCAATCTCAGCCAACATATTAGTAGAGTAGAAGGAAGGGAGGAACAATTAACACTAAATTCTGTGTTTTCACCCCAAATGCAATTCATGGATTCTTTTTTTTAAAAAAGGAGAACTTATTTAAAAAAACTTATGGACATCCAAGTTATATACTTTAACTTTGCACAGCTCATAGCAAAAATCATAAAAACAATAAAATTTACAAATAAATAAATTTAAACTAAAGATGCCAAATGCAGTAGTACTATTAAGCCAACCATATTATCAATGTTCTGTGTAGGATACGTGACTGCGGTATTTTGGGCTTCCAGCATTTTCGCTAAGACTTTGAATCTGTTGACTATGCACCCAACAGTAGTTTTTCTTACCTCTCTAGATACTGCTCTCTTTGGTTCAACAACTCTCCCATCAACCTTGTGTGGTCTGGCATTCATGGCAGCATCAACCTCTTCCACTGTTGAGTAAGTGACAAATCCAAACCCCCTGGAGCGCTTAGTATTTGGGTCTCTCATTACCTAAGAACAATATACATTTTTGCTCTAAAATACACAATTGCAAGAAATGCACCTGATGCAGGCAATGTTTAATTTAGAAAAATCAATTGCCCTGTTTTTTAGAAATAGGATAGTGATATACTAAAGGCAACATTAGTACTTAATATAGTTGTTGGGAGATTTTCTTCTCTTTTCTTGACTATTGTAGACTTCCTATATCTTAATTCAGCTAAAGTACACATATTTATTAAATCTGTTTGCTGCTTATCTTGATACAAGCTGACATACTTACCACACAATCTGTAAGTGTGCCCCATTGCTCAAAATGATTGCGAAGGCTCTCATCTGTTGTCTCAAAACTCAGGCCACCAATAAACAGTTTTCGCAGTTGTTCAGGTTCCTTGGGGGACTGAAACAGAAAAGTAGGCAACACTAGGAAGGATATGATCACAGTGTATAATGGTGGGGAGCCATAATGAAAATAAGCATGATTTATTCAGCGTATAAGAATACCAAGTCCCATCAGCCAGAACCAGGTAAAAAGTACAGATTTGCAGAAATTAGCTATTTAAGAAATAGGAAGTGCTTTTAAGCACATGCACAAGCAATGTAGCTGTTGTGAGTAGCACCAGAACCAAGCTCATAAAACCTGAAAAATAATTTCTGACACCTGAGCTTTCTCTTTGGTTCTGTTTTTATCTTAACAGCAAAACCTAAGTACAGATAGTCCTTGATCTACAACCGAATTTGTCAAATGCTAAGCAAGACAGTTAAGTGAATTTTCCCCATTTTACAACCTTTCTTGCCACAATTAAGTAAATCACTGCAGTTAAGTTAGTAATATGGTTAAGTGAATCTGGCTTGACTTTGCTTGAAAGGTCACAAAAGGTGATTACATGACCTCAGGACAGTCTTCATAAATACATGCTAGTTACCACATCCAAAGTTTGATTGTGTGACAAGGGGATACTACAATGGTAGTAAGTATAATGGTTATAAATCAATGACTACCTGTAATTTAGGGATCACTCAGACAATGTAGCCTTCTTTCCTTTTATCCATTCTGGTGTCATAAAATGCAAATTTTCACCCTACATCAATGGCTTTGCTTGTATACAGAATCCCAAGACAAGTAGAACATTAACACTAGCATGCACATCCAATGCAATTAAGGTATCTAAAGCATTTACTGTACATTGCTGGCTGCTATTGTATTGTTACACAGCAAAAGGAATAATATTTTAGGAACAAAGCCACTATTCTGATATGCCCTCAAAAGGAGATATACAACGGATTGTCTTTTAAGGCAATGCAGGAATGTACTTATATTAGGCCTAGCAAAAGTATCAGTACTGTCATAATAAATGTACCCCATCTCCCCAAATTAGGTGCATTTTAGTGTTTCCAGCAAGAGTAAACATACCATTTTGGGGAGGGGGGGAGATTACGTTCCAATTTCCAACATTGTAGCAATTTCAAAACTTATGAGAATGAAACACATACAATGGCTGATGAAACATACTTTCTCAGGCACCCATTTGTCAATGTAGGTGCTTTCAAAATTTTAAAGCTTTTAACTGGAGCTTCCTCGGGCACAAGCCTTGGTTCAGAATGGGCATCATTCTCTTCTCAACCCCACATTAAAAATGAAGGAAAAGGAATTAGAGCCATCAGGCCGCCTCTTTCCGTTTGCACAGAAACGTGAAAGGCCGAGAAACCAGCTACCAGAGACAAAGCAAAGGAGCACGTGGCTTTCGCATCTTCCCATCCCCCCCCCACGCAAACTCCGAACTGCTCCGTGGAAGTGCGCAGGCGTGCGATTCATTGCATGGCGCAAGCGCAGCCATGACAAGCGCAGGAGATGGCCGCTGCGAACGCCACGCACTGGAAAAGATGGCGCCTAAACTAGCAACACAGCGCGCATGCGCAGTTTGCCAGGTCCTGGGGGGGGGAAGGGAAGTAGGCCCAACCGGAGAAAAAGACCTATTATAAAGGTGAATCAGAAAAGCCAAACGCGGGCAAGCGGCGGAAAAATATGAGCGCAAAAGGAAAACAATGCATTTCAGTAGCGGGAATGAGGAGAAAAACGGTATTTGTAACACTTACTGCGTTAGGCGACAGATCGCACCCATAATCAGACGATCCCTAAAGGCAAAGGAAACATAATTCCACAAAAACAAGCCACTGGTATAGAGTCGTAAAAACAAAATAAAACGGCCCGTTGTAGGCTCTTACCTCAGATTTGGACATCTTGGCGGTAGCAAATGGGCAAGGCCGACCTTCTTCACGAACGACGACGCTCCCTCTCACTGCACCCGATACCGAAAGGGGCAGAGTCACCCGTGCGTCGTCGCCTCATTATCAGCACCCACCCCTGCCCATTGTTATTGGATGGCTGTGTAGCTTTAGTCGATGGCTATTGGTCAATAGGCAAATAGTCTGCCTCCTTAGTGGACGAATACGTAAAGTTACGCTTGTTTCCTCTCCATTGTCCCACCTCCTTTGTCTTTCTATTGGTTGGACCTCTGTCACTCCTTTGATTTGGTGAATTTTCCCGCCCTGTACTCCTAGAGCTCCAGTTGCAAGGTAACACCCTTCTCCTTCATATTGTTTCTTTCTCATTGGAGGATTCGGAGCATAAGTTGTTCTGATTGGCTTTTACGACCAGCCATCTTTTTAGAGATTGGTCCATCTTCTCTTCATTCATTATCATAGAGGCGGGAATTAAGTTCGTGTTGTATACGGGTTTAGGTCGGTGGTTAGAACTATATCCATCCCTGTGGTGGTGAAGGTACATGCCAGGTTAGAAGGGGGGGAAAAGATCGTTTTATGTATAAAATTTGCTTCCAGGCAGACGTACACGGTGAGGCATATTGTACATATGCGCATGCGTTTTGAAATATTACGCCGAAGAGAGGAACGGTTGTCGAGGAAGATAGTAAGGAGGTGCGCGCGCCTCACGCCAGCGCGGTGAAGCTGGGAAGGGGGCGGAGGGGCTAGCGCGTGCGCACTAGAAAGCTGTTTTGGCGGGCGTTGCGCAGAAGCGGTGGCCGTGAGGGGGTACAAACCAGGGAGGGGGAAGTTGGTTTCGTACCGAGCTGTTACTTTCCCCAGGTGAGCGACCACGGGAAACAGTCTTGGCGGGGAGCGCGTTAACCGAGAGCCAGTGATTCTTCGGGAGAGGGTGTGGTTTCGGTATGATTGGGAACCTGATTGACTGAGCCGTGAGGCACCGTTGGGAAGAGGGCGGGGCTTGCATCTTGGGCGGAGCCCTCAAGTGAGTGACGGCCGAATGAGTGAAAGCTTGAGGCAGTGAACAGCGTCAGAACGTTGAGATCCGGGGTATGAAGTAACAGGCGTTTTAACCAACAGGGGTGCTGCGTTTGTCTTCGGGAGGGTTGGCCCGATGCTGCTTGATGGATGCGCAGTCTGGCCAATGAACGGGTTACTCGGCTAAGCGCCTTCCCTATGAAAGTGGGGGAGGGGGAAAATCTGTCTAGGAGCGAAAAGCTTTCCCGCCGTGACTCCGCCCCGCGGATAGGCGCTCGTTTGCCTTGCGTCTTCTGTTTCCTATTCAGAATTTCTCGCCAAGCTTCCCCCCCCCCGGCCCCCCCATCCAAAGAAAGTGGGAGTCGTTTTCTATAAAATGGTGGCCCGGTATATCTGCACCTTCACTTAAGGTGATTTCTGGATTATCTACGGAGAATTTTACAAACGTTTTTAAACAATAAAAATAATCGCATCTAGTCTTGACCGTCCATTTCCTGGGCATCCATACTACTTTAGGCGGTCCCGTAATTCATGACCTGTAAGCCTGTATCGGGAATGTTGTGATGGTTGCAACTCTTCGATTTACGAAGATTTCTAAACCTCAGAATCCCAGTAATACGAACTACTTTATATGCGTACATTCTACAGCATTATTTACTGTGATAAACATTTGTACTTCTAGAATACTTGTTTTAATATTTTTGTTGATTTACATTGCTTTAAGAAAAATAGAACTGAAAGGTGGTTTAATTTTTGTTCAGTCTGGCAGCATTTATGGAGATCTCATATTAAGTCCCTAAGAAATGACTGGAGAATTTTGTTGTGATACTATAAATCTTTGAGAGGATAAATATATGCATATATATTTTATCTATAATAGTAGCTGAGTGCAAGCATTTCTATTTTTTAATTGAAAGAAACTTGTGGAACTAAAGCATCTGGATGTAAATTTCATTGACTCTTAAAAATATGAAAGCAACATTTCCATATAACTAAATTTCATCCCCTTTGTGTTCATCCTGGACTGTCCGAAAGGTGCTTTTTCAAGAGGCAACTGGACTTTGTTTTTCTTGAGGTTTTGCTTCTCATCAAAAATCATCTTCAACTCTGACTAGATGGTGGAGAATGGGAAGATTTATACTCCTTGCAGACAGTTGGTCATTTACATTATTTTAAGGAGAGGTCACCTGGAGGTTTATCTGTGTCACCAGAGTCACCTGGGTAGTGCAAATGGGTGTGGAGCCTTCTTGGAACTGTTGAAAGAACTGTGTTGTAGATTGGAGATAGATGATGTCATATCCCTCCTCTGTTCAATTTTGATAGATGGCCTCTTTGACCCCTCTTTCAAATCAGCAATCCTCTCTGTCCAAAATGTGGATTTTGCTGTCTTCAAAAGCGAGGCCTTTGTCTTTAAAATGCAGATGATCTGCTGAACCTAGTCCTGATGGGTTTCTTCTCCTACTTTGTGCCATGCGTTTATGAAGTGGTTGCTTTGTTTCCCCAATCTACAGATCTGAACATGGCTCAATGCTTTGTATTGCATATACCACGTTGCTCAGTTTGTGTTTGGGTGTTTTATCCTTGGAATGTACAAGCTTCTGCCTTAGTGTAGTCTTGGGTTTGAAATGTGTACTATATTGTGTTGGCTGAAGATCCTCTTGAACTTTTCAGATATTCCTGCAACGTATGACACCATTGCTTCGTTTATTATTCTCTGTCTGTTATGGAAGGGCTCTTTTTGGATCTTTTTTGAGATTTGATGAAGGCCCACTTGGGATAGCCACATGTTCTTAGGGCTTCCTTGATATGTTTCAGTTCTTTTTCTTTCTCATCTTTGCTGGTAGGCAGGCCTTCAGCTCAGTGGTGTAGGGTTCTGATAACTCCCATTTTGTGCTCCAGTGGGTGGTGAGAATCAAAAAGTAAATATTGATTTCTGTCTGTGGATTTTCTGTAAACTTCAGTATTAAGGCTTCTGTCTTCCTTAATGTACTACACAGTCCAGTCATAAATCTTTCCATTCCCCATCATCCAGTCAGAGCTGAAGAAGGTTTTTGGATGAGAAACAAAACCTCAAGAAAAACAAGAAAGTCCAATTGCCTCTTGAAAAAGCACCTTTGGGACAACTATGACCTGGATGACTGAGAATCTCCCTTACAGTAAGCTAGGAGTATACAGGTAGTCCTTGACTTACAAAGTTCAATTAGGGACTGTTCAAAGTTACAACAATACTGGGAATGTAACATGACCATTTTCACAGTTACAATCTTTGCAGCATCCCCATAATTGTGGTCAAAATTCAGAGGTGTGGCAACTGGTTCATATTTATGGCTATTGCTGTGTCCTGGGGTAATGTGATCACCCTTTGTCACCTTTTGATCAGCAAAGTCAACTGGGAAGCCTGAGTCACTTAACAGCTGGGTTACTAAATTATCAACTGCAGTGATTCACGTAACTGTTGGGGCATAATTCACTTAACAAATGTCTCAATATAAATTTTGGGCTCAATTGTCATAAATCGAGGGCTACCTCTATAGAGTAGTTATTGTGCATAACTATTGTGCAAAATGGCAAAAAAGTGAGGAGAATAACAGGGCTAAAAATCATGCAGTTTTCTGAGATATACTTTATTGAACTCTACTTTGATACTTAAAACAGCTGGAGATCTATGAATGCATGGTATTTGGGTGTGAGGTTGATGAGAATACTATTTACCTACAGTATTTACTATTTAAAATTATAGAAAGCATTTGCTTCCATGAGGAAAGAAATGAAATTTCTGTGCTCACGATGCACCATGTTGTTATGGCATGAAGATCAGTTTGAAGAAAACGCCTGTCATTTTTCCAAGTGAAATGAAATCCATTTAAAAAGAAAAGAGTAAAGTCCATCTTCCAAAACAATTGCTTTTATTTAGGAAAGCATCAAATTGGCTTGATAACACCTTTCTTTCAGGGACAAATACGAATTACTAATGAAATGGGCTGCAGGGTCACTTAACGACCCGCAATGGGAAGAGCAGGGATTGTGGTCATTAAGCATGGTGATCATGTGGGTGCCTCAGTTAATGCTTGCCATAACTTACAATTGTAATGAGCAGGCTCCATTATGGTTGCAAGTCAAGGACTACCTAAGTATAATTAGCTTCTCACATGTACCTAGTCTGCCCAAGGACAATTAATGCCTGACAACATGATTGTATATACCAGTAGTGGCTAACCTTTTGGGGCTCCTGTGCCAAAAATTGCTTGCGTGCCAGCACCCAGAAGTCAATATGCGTGCCCCCCACGCTCCCTGCGCATGCGTGCATGATATCCCCCATGCCCCCTTACCTGCACTGCGCCTCCCAGCTGATTTTTGGCCCATTTGAGGCCTTTTTCAGCCTGCCAGAAAATTGACAGAAGCCTCTACAGGCTTTGCAGGCTGACAAATGGGCCCGTTTCGTCACTTCCAGTATTAATACTGGAAGTGACAAAATGGGCCCATTTTTCGGCCTGCAAAGCCTGCAGAGGCTTCTCTCAAGCCTCTGGCAGGCTGAAAAAGGCCCGAAAATCAGCTGGGAGGCACGCGCATGTGCAGTGAGGTAAGTTTGCCTGGGACTCGCCTTCCCGCACAAATGGTTCTGCATGCCATCTGTGGCACACATGCCATAGGTTCACCATCATGGGTATATAAATATGAAGTATATAGAGCCAGTTTGGTCTAGTAGTTGAGGCACCAGGCTAGAAAGCTGGACACTGAGGTACAAGCCTTTCCTTTGCCATGAAAGCCAGCTGGATGACTTTGGGCAGATCCAATCCACCTCACAGGGTGGTTGTTGTGGAGAAGCAAGATGTGTTGGATGTATTCACTGCCTTGAGTTTTTTTGTAAAAATAATAAACGAGGGATACAAATTAAATGTACAGTTCTAAACTAAGGGGAAACCTTAAATTGGTTGCTGGAATGGTGAAGTTGTGGTTGCTTATCAGTAATTATTGCCATATTTTTCGAAGTAAGATGCATTCCCCCCCTAAAGTGGGTGGAAATGTCTGTGTTTCTTATACAGTGAATGTTGACGAAGGCCCACCAGCCCCCATCCTTTGGCCTCTGCCTTCCAGCAATTTGCCTCCTTGCAGCTAACAGCCTGTTTCAGCTTCAGCACAGCCTGATTAGTACAAACAGCTGATTGTCAGTTGGGTTGGCTTTCCGACAATTAGCTGTTTCAGGCTGCAGGAATTGCCGTCACCTATTGCTGCCTCCGTGTGCCCCATTTTCGGCCACCATGCACCCCATTTTTGGTCTCTGCACACCCCGTTTTCCAGCCTTCTGATCCCTGCCACCTGGAATGGACCAAAAATGGGGCATGCGAAGGCTGAAAATGGAGCATGCGGAGGCAGAAATGGACAATGGAAACCCCTGCAGCCTGAAACAGCTGATCGTCAGGAGGCCGGTCCAACCGACAATCAGCTGCTTGTGCTAATCAAGCTGTGCTACGCTGAAACAGGCTGTTTGCTGCAAGGAGGCAAATTGCTGGGAGGCAGAGGCAGATTTTTTTTTCTTTCTGTTTTCCTCCCCAAAAGCTAGGTGCATCTTATACTCCCAAAAATACAGTAATTAGGAACTATATGTACATAAGGTGTAGCATGTTTGGGAAGAAAGCCTTAATGGGGATCTCAGTGCAGTTCTGAATATTAGATTCAAAATGTTCTTAATTGTTCTATTGTCCCCCACACTTGCAATGCTTTTCATGTTGGCCATATATAGCCATAAAGGCCTATTAATTGTGCATTTAAGTGTGAGCCTGGCTTACATGGAACTCTATACCTTGTAAAGTTTACAGGTAAGTGCTTTTTGCATCCTAGCTTTT